CTTGAATTGGTCTAACATGACTCAGCAACACACTTAACACAAGTCAGTATGTAACTTACTGATTTCCTTTGTTCTTTTCTCAAAGACCATGAAGCGTTTTTTTTTCTTCATGATAACTTGGGCCTTGGTGGCGGCAGTCCCTCGTGACAACCGAGCTCGGGTAAGCGTGTGACCTCCTTTTCTTCGTACTTTGTTAAGTTTCGAACCATTTCATTTTTCTAAGCTGTCTGAAGTCGTTTTAAAGCTATGACGCCATAAGCATCGCATAATGCTGGTATGCAAAGTTCCTTTGCATAATGATTTTACACACGATTGATCAATGAATCTGATCGAGCAGAACTGAGAACTAATTCGTTCTCTTGCTACCCGCTATCTTGATTTGGGCGAGTAAACTCGTCTTTGGCAGTTTCTGTTTTGCAATTTCCTGGCTAAAAGTTAAGAGGCCGGCCATCGTTAGACGTCATCGCTTCTGAATTAATTTGCGTGTCATTTATTCATACTGATATGATTAATTTATTTCTTTAACAGGATGAAAACCAAGACAAAGACCGTGGTAAGTGTATCAGCCGTCTTCCTTTAGCAATTGTAAGTAGCAGTAGAACATTAATTTTTGTTTCACTTTTTTATTCTTGTAAATTGCTGCAATATTGTTGCTAACATTTTGTACTATATCAAACATTACATCTAATAAGCTACACGCTTGGATATGGACGTTACATTCAAGTTATGGTGGTGGGAGTTAACCAAATTATAAGCCCCAAATTCTCTTCCATCGACGTAAAAAAAAATCATAAGCGTAAAAACGTACCATTTGTTCCCTGTCAGCGTCCACTTGGAATTTAGTTTTTTACCAATTAATAGTTTGACCGCAAGAAAAGTTAATATGATTATTTTTTCCCAAGAGGGCACGGTAACGAATCCTGCAATCTGACTGACTCTTAGCGCGGTCTGGATTTTTCTACGTGCCGTCTACAAACCAGCGCAAAAAATCTAACGAGCTAACTAGCGATTAACCTAGATACTAGACAAAGAAAGGTGTATTAAATAGCAGATTTATTTCGAACTAATTTATGATAGTTGCATCTAGTTCAATTAATTTCTCCAAAATTGTTTTCCCGGCGTGGAATTTCGTGCAAAGATTGAAGTTTTACTTCACAGTTGATCATTTTTTTTTTAGTTTCTGATCCAAGAAGAACAAATCCTGTTTTTCCGTTATGCTTAATTATTGCAGTAAAAAATCAAGAGCTCCGCTTTTAGACCTGGCTAAATCTATCGCCGCTTTTCATGTGACGTCATCATTTTCCAAAATAAGAAATTACCAATCCTTCTGAAGTTCTAGTTTCATCAGATGTAAGACCCTCTAATAACTTGACGTTTTGCAGCGTTTAAGCTCGACAGGGTTCTCATTATGTAATAGAGCAGGTTTGAATATCCAACTTTATGCGTTGTGTGACATAATGGCGCCCGGCCCGATAAGGCTCTATAGTAGGTCAAAAGATGAGTTATTGCCCAAGTTTTTGCTAATTAAACAGTTGTTGCTGTATAAGAAGTGTTAATTTCAATGTGTCGGAGCTCTAGAGTAATAACATTTCGTT